CATATGCTTGGATGTTAATGGTCCATTCGCCTATGGCATCTACAAGTGGGCTCTTCCAGTCATTTCTAGCAATTCCATTGCTGTCAAAATTCTTTATCCCATCTTTTGGGGCTTAATGACTCTTAGGTAAGTTTAGGAGCAGTAGTTTTCAAACTCTGTGTTCTGCTCCTGTGGAGAAAAGGGAAGAGTTTTCTACACTATGTTTCTTGATAATGATGGTTTAAATGTTGCAGCACGTTTGGCAATGATCTCGAGCCCACGAGTAATTGGCTAGAAGTATGTTTTAGTATTTGCACAGTACTGAGTGGATTGCTGCTTTTTACTCTTTTGATTGGTAACATCCAGGTGAGCATGCTTGCTTGTTCAATATGTTGTGCACATGTAACTGAAAGTATTCTTCTTCTGTGGACCTTAATTCGTCTCCCTTTTGCGAAAAAGGTTCTTTTGCACGCCGTCATGGCAAGGAGGCGAAAAATGCAGCTGAGATGTCGAGATTTAGAGTGGTGGATGAGGAGACGACAATTGCCATCTCGTTTGAGACATCGAGTTCGACACTATGAACACCAGAGATGGGCAGCCATGGGTGGAGAAGATGAGATGGAACTGATCAATGATTTGCCTGAAGGTCTTAGAAGAGACATTAAACGCCATCTTTGCGTTGATCTTATCAGAAAGGTAAATAGTTTGAATAGCTGTTCTCATGAGGATCTTTTTAGGATTAGGGAAGGCTTGTGGTTGAGGTTCTGTTTCTTCATGTCTAACGGCCAAGCCCACCACTAGCAGATATTGTCCTCTTTGGGCTTTCCGATTTCGGGCTTTCCCTCAAGGTTTTAAAACGTGTGTGCTAGTGAGAGGTTTCCACACCCTTATAAAGAATGTTTCATTGAGTTGAGGATCTCTTTTGGATTTGGGAAGGCTTGTGGTTGAGGTTCTGTTTCCTTATGTCTAACGGCCCAAGCCCACCGCTAGCAGATATTGTCCTCTTTGTACTCCTCTTTTGGGCTTTCCTTCAAGATTTTAAAACACTTCTGCGAGTGAGAGGTTTTCACACCCTTATAAAGAATGTTTCGTTCGGTAGAGGATCTCTTTTGGATTAGGGAAACTTGTGATTAAGGTTCTGTTTCCTTATGCAACTGCTACCAAATGCATAGGTGCCGCTGTTCCAAAACCTGGATGAGCTGATTCTCGACAACATCTGCGACCGAGTCAAGCCACTTGTATTTTCCAAGGATGAAAAGGTACATGTTCAAACCCGACTCGTCGGTGATCCGCTATCTACCAAGGATACACTAATATCAATGTTTCCATAAAAACAGATTATCAGAGAAGGAGATCCTGTTCCAAGAATGCTATTCATAGTGTGTGGACGTGTAAAACGTAACCAAAGCCTGAGCAAGGGCATGACAGCAACAAGTTTGCTAGAATCGGGAGGATTTCTGGGCGACGAGCTGCTATCGTGGTGTCTTCGGCGCCCATTTCTGGAGAGGCTTCCAGCTTCATCAGCTACATTTGTATGCATTGAACCAACAGAAGTATTTGCCCTGAAAGCAGACCATCTGAAGTACATAACCGATCACTTCCGCTACAAATTTGCCAATGAACGACTGAAGAGAACTGCAAGATATTACTCCTCCAACTGGAGAACATGGGCTGCTGTGAACATACAATTTGCTTGGCGTCGCTACAGAAAGAGGATGAGACGTCCAGTGATAACTGTGGTGGAAAATGGAAGCAATGAACGTAGGCTTCTGCAGTATGCTGCAATGTTCATGTCATTCAGGCCACATGACCATCTTGAATAGTAAACTACGAACATGCCTACACTTCTTGAATTCTTTCGTAAGTCATTCATTGATATCATTTTCATATTATTCGATATCTATCATCTCCAAGGAAAGACATGGACTTGGAAGTTGGAAAATGGGATGTATTTGAGTGTAAAGAGTGAGATATGTTCATCTTTCTCCCTTTCATGTCTCTTCCCTCTCTCTTCCTCCGACATGACAGATCATGTTTCTCACCGAAGATGTGGAGTTGAAGATGAATGTATTGTTAAGAATGTTTTTAGTAAGAGAACGTGTCTAGATTGAGTAATGGCAGTTGTCGTCTCTCTTACATCAACTTGTGAGCTCAACTAGTTAAGATATATTCCATTTGTTCGTGAACTACCGAAAAAAGTCATATAGACATTGTGTTTGTTTCATTTGCTAATGGTTAAGATATCTCTTGTAAGATGTAAGAGCTCAAGCACCGCTAGGCTAGCAGATATCGGATATCATTTTCTTTTCTTTATGGGCTTTTTCTCAAGGTTCTGTTAGGATAACCAAGTCCATTGAGTTTTCTCGTTTGAGCTTTCCCTTCTGGGCTTTATCTCAAAATTTTGCTAGGATATCCAATTCCATTGGGCTTTCCCTCAAGGTTTCGCTAGGATATTCAAGCCCACCGGTAATAGATATTGTCTTTTTTGGCCTTTTCCTTCTAGGTTTTCCCTCAAGGTTCCGTTAGCAAATCCAAATCCACCGCTTGCAGATATTGTCTTCTTTGGACTTTCTTTCGGAGAGCTTTCACTAAGCTTCCGCTAGCAGATATTGTCTTCTTTGGACTTTCTTTCTAAGAGCTTTCACTAAGCTTCCGCTAGCATATCCAAGTGTAGATATTATCTTTTTTGGGCTTTCTTTTCTGGGCTTCCCCTCAAGGTTTTTAAAACATGTCTTCGAGGAGAGGTTGGGGGGCCGTGGGCTTTCCCTTCTAGGCTTCCCCTCAAGGTTTTTAAAATATGTCAACTAGGAGAGGTTAGGAGCCCAACGTCCTCATTGGCACACCGCTCCGTGTCTGATTCTAATACCATTTTCAACAACTCAAACCCAACCCTAGCCGATATTATCAACTTGGCCCATTACATATCATCATCAGCCTCATGATTTTTAAAACATGTCTAGAGAGAGGTTTGTATACTCTTAAATACTTCGTTTCCCTCTCTAACGGATGTGTAACCTTACATCTCTACTCTTTCTAAAAAAGTTGGTATACAATATAACATTCGATAAATGCAACTAAATTACACGAAAGCGGGTCGATATTAAGATTTGATAGATCACAACTTCTTAAGTAACATAATAATTTGAAATTATACATTGATCCGTCTATGTAGAAAATGTTAGAACCCCACAAAATTGGGGTTTTGTTGGGTATGATATCACCACCTTACCAGACCTTTTTAGGACCCACAAGGCCAAGAACATCCTCCCAAAGCCCCACACTTGCCACATCCATACCAATCACACTTGGACTACAAGCAGCCACAGTCCAATACCCAGCTCTAATTTCATCTCTCAATTGCTCCTTCTCCCACCCACAATACCCATCAAAGAACCTGAAATCCTCAGCCCCAACCATATTCCTCTTCACCATTTCCGACGCACACCCAACGCTCTCTTTACCCCCATAATACATTCCCTTCATTACTTCCTCAAACACCCCACTCTTCCCAATCCCATCATCCTCTCCCCCCCTTCTTGGACTCACTAAAAACAACCCCCCTTCCAATGGCCCCCCGAAGTACAACGGCCGCTCCCAAAATGTGCCCGCTACGTCCAGTGTCGTCGACCTCGTTTCCTTAATCGACATCAACGACGGCCGATTTAGTATCACCCCCGATGGCCCCATTGCTCCATTTGACAAAACGAGAACCACGGTACGCTCGAATATGTGCACTCCATCGAGCTTCTCAGTTGCAATGAGTAGACATCCCTTTTCAGGCTCATGAATTACATGCGCCCATTTGTCGCCGATCGAGACCGACGGTGGATGATCCACCACCGTGTCGAGATTCACAAAAGACGATGAAATTTGAGGCGTTGCGAGCTTCTGATTGGCAATCAACTTGGCTCTGAATGATCTCCAATCCGTATCATCACCGTCCGATGGCGACTTGAACTGACAGCCTAAAGAGAAAAATAAAATATGGATCTTTAATCATGATTAGAAGTAAGATCATGATTTCTAACAAGAATACGAGAGAGACTTACATGATATTTTGAAGGATGACGGGGAAGAAGAGGGTCGGGAGTTGAAGAGAATTGTGGGCTTGATCTGGTTGTGAGGCAGAAAACAAGCTTCCATTTGTGAGATTCAGCAGCTGACTTGTTTGTTGGTGTTGGATGATGAAGGGAGAAATGGAAGAAGAGGGGTTTATAAGGTGAAGGGAAGAGTGAATTGGAACCACATAAAAGGATAAAGGCTTCTCCTTTTTCACACCCATCTCATCCAAAACGTGGATTGTCCTTTATGTGGGTCCATAAAGTTATGGGCAATTGGATAAACCCTGACACGTGGCGTCATGTCAAGACTGCCAACTCAATCCTTTTGTGGATGGTACACTTCTGCAACCCATTTTGGTGACGTGGCGTTTTCATGCCCAATGGCTCTTCTTGGTGTATGTATCTTTTTTTTATAGGTAAAAACTTCAAAACTCAACATTTTTAGCTTGGAATATTTATGGGTTGGATAACTTTTTGAGATTTTTCCTTTGAAGGAATAAATTATACTCTAACAAAGATAGTTTTGTTTGTTTGAATGATTCTTAATTTTTTCACAATAAGAAAAATATAATTTGTCCGGGATTAATATTTATATAAATTTTTGTTAGTGCATTATTGAAAAAAATAAAGGTTAAGGTTAAAGTGTAGTGCTTGAAATAAGATGCCATTTGGAAAGAATATATTTTGTGGATGGGAAGTCAAAACTAAATAGTAATTTGTTGTGGGATGGATGATTACAAATTTAAATTAAAAATAGTAATAAGGGAAGAAAAGGATTAAGTCCAACCGGCCGAACTTAAAAAAATTAGGTGAAGAAGGAAAGCGCAAAATCAAAGGTCGAGGACTTGACTAACGGTGGTGGTTGGGTTGGCGATGGAGTGCGTCGGCAGCCATGCGCGGCATTCAGTGTCTTTAAATACCCTCCCCTTCTGCCCATTGCTCTTCGTCTTTCTCCATAGATTCCCCTTTGATTTCAGCTCTGTTTCAGTCTAAAATGAAGGCCATGTTGGTTCTTACTGCTCCTCCTCCTCCTCCTCCTGCAATTTCTACTACTCGTATCTCCAATATCTCGAAACCCACTTCCGTTTTTGGCTCCCATGCTGGAAACAATCGTGGGTTTTTGCCTCTCAATTTGAACTTGCTTCATGGGACCGCCATTCGTTCTGTTCAAGCCTCTGCCGCGTCCCATGGCGGAAACTATGGATCAAAGTTTAGTGCAACTTTAACTTTGAGTTAAATATATTAGTTATTAGAATTTATCTATAATTTAATTAGTATTATACTTTATATTTTACTATTTAAAACTCATCCAATATGGGTGATTCAACCTTCGATTTCAATTTTATTTCTCATTCTTGACTTTATATTGTTTGTTTGAGTAATAATATTTTTAGATCTATTCAACTTTTGAGCGGTAGATGTTGTGTCATAGTTGAGGTGTCAAACATTAAATATATCCTTTAAGTTTTTTGTGCTTGGTATAATATGATATCAATTGGTTTAAATTGTGAAGTACCATTTCCCATCCTTCCTTTCTAACGGTTGTTGTTTAGCAGGTGTACATAATCCGAGTTGGATTCAACGATTCAAAAGTTTTTTTTTTTTTTTTGAGTGGGTTGGATCGTAACTCAACCCAACCCAATCCAAAAAATTTTATAATCCAACCCAACCCAATCCAAAAAATTTTATAATCCAACCCAACCCACCGGAAATTTTATAATCCAAAAAATTGTGAAGTTCAAATTGACAATCCAACTAAACCCGAAAATTTCACAACCCAATCCAACCCTCTATTTTCGGGTTGGGTTTGGGTTCTTGGGTTTTATATAAAGGGTTGACTTCGGAGCATGGAGAATTCTAATAAACTCGGATTACCACCCCGACAAACCTTTACATACGATAGAGTTCTCAACGTTATTTATAAGTTTTATTCGGTTTTAGGTCAACCAGAGTTTTTTATCTTATGAACCGGAAACTGAACCGAATCACTTCAAGTTCAGAAAAAACAACCCAACCTCTATAATTCAAATTGGGTTGGTCCGGGTTGTCGGGTTAGATGTACACCTCTAATAGAGGTTAGAAGAGTCCAAACATTTTAGATAAACTTTTGATAAAAAAAAAATGAGGGTGGAAGAAGCTGTAATTGTAGAGAATTTGTATTTGTTTTGTAGGTCATCTCCAAAGGATAGTTACAAGCTGAGCGTAGAGGAAATAAGAAGCTCATTAATCTCTCAGGAGGACAGCATTATCTTTAGTCTCTTAGAGAGAGCTCAGTACTGCCATAATGGAAAGACATATGACCTCCAGGCTTTCTCCAAGGATGGCTTGAGTGGCTCTTTGGTGGAGTACTTGATCAAGGAAACTGAAAAGCTCCATGCTCAGGTACTTGAACATTCTAAAAGGAGAAACAAAGAAAGGTTGAGGCAAATGTTGTGTGTGTTTGTTTCACATTATTTTTTAACCTTAGGTGGGAAGATACAAGAGCCCTGATGAGAATCCTTTCTTCCCCGACGACCTACCCGCCCTGTCGTCGACTCCCCTTCAGTACCCGCAGGTGAGAACATTGACTTACTTACATGGACATTAAGTCCCACCTTTTTATTGGTGTTGGATGCAGCCCATGTTAAAGATCACGTATTTGTTTAGATTGCTGTCCGTGAGTATCTAATTAAATAATTTTTTATTTGATTTAGTTTTGATTTGATTAGATTTTATTTTGATTTGTTTACTGGTTTGTTATCCGATTTTCTGCAGATTTTTAGGTAGATTTTCTGAATATTTTTTGTGTTCTCTGTATAAATATGGAGCATTCTTGCTCTTCATAATTCAATAATCTCCTCTTCCATTCAATAAATCCCTCTTTCACTAACAGCCCACGATCGAAATATGTTAAAACTTATGTTTTTTAATTCTCTTTTGTTGTTGCAAGGAGAGTATAGTTTACTAGCTCACAACGCCCTGATTTGAGTTGAAAACAGGTACCACATCCTGGGGCGGATTCCATCAATATAAATGAAAAAGTAAGGAGCATGTACTTCGAGTCTCTGATACCAAAATTAGTCAAGGAAGGAGATGACGGCAATTATGGATCAGCCGCTGTCTGTGACATGATTTGCTTGCAGGTGTGCTTCTCAAACTATCCAAACCATGTACAAATTTCTGCTGCAAAACTGCCCACCACCATTTCTTTATGTTATTGTCACGTTTCAGGTTGGTGGGAGACTAAAATGAAACATTCCTTATAAGGGTGTGGAAACCTCCCCCTAACATACACATTTTAAAACAGTACAACCGACGGTGATACGTAATAGGTCAAAGCAGATAATATCTACCGGTGGTGGATTTAAGCTGTTACAAATGATATTAGAGTCATACACCGAGTGGTGTGCCAGCGTAGACGCTAGGCCCCCAAGAAAGGTGGATTGTGAGATCCCACATCTGGAGAGGAAAACGAAACATTCGTGTGAAAATATCTTCCTAATAGATACGTTTTAAAACCACGAGGTTAACGGGCCAAAACATATAATATACACCAAGGGGTGTGCCAACGTATACGCTAGGCCCTCAAGGGGAGTGGATTGTGAGATCCCACATCGGTTAGAGAGGAGAACGAAACATTCCTCATAAAAGCGGGTAAATATCTTCCTAACAGACACATTTTAAAACCGTGAGGTTAACGAGCCAAAGCAGACAATATCTTCTAGCTGTAGGCTTTTCTGAATCTTTGTTACAATGAACAATTTTCACAATTTGGTTGTTTCGACCACTGCAGGCTCTATCAAAGCGAATTCATTATGGAAAATTTGTAGCAGAAGCAAAGTTTCAAGAGTCACCAGATGAATATGAGGCTGCAATCAGGAAACAAGTAAGCCTTGTTCTATTACTATACTACATTCTTGATTCTGCAATCAAATACGTGATATGATTCTGGTGCTGGGTTTTGAAGGACAAGGAGAAGTTGATGGATATGCTGACGTTTCCGAGCGTCGAGGAGGCGGTAAAAAGGAGAGTGGAAATGAAAGCCAAAACATTTGGCCAAAAACATGGTGCCCCAGATTACAAAATCAAACCCACTTTGGTTGCTCAACTTTATGGAGAATGGATCATGCCTTTAACAAAGGAAGTTGAAGTTCACTACCTACTCAGAAGATTGGACTGATCTGCAATCAGTCTTCATGGTCAATGCTCATACTAAGTTCGCACTTGTTTCAACACAATAATCAGGTTGAGTTACCACTGTAACGTTGACCTGACGTGTACCGGTTGAAACCGTTGCCCAAAAACAAGACTTTTTAAATATTGTAGACCATGCTTGGGGTTCCCCTTCAAATAAACTTTGAAAAAAAGTATGTAATTTAAAAATAATTAGAAGTTTTCTATTACAAATTAAATAAACTAACTCAAGTGGAAGCGTTTAAAAAAAAAAACATGAATCTTCTAAGGGTTGTTTTCTCCATCCACTTGAATCTAAATATTTTTGTTTTTAAATGGTTAGATAGGCATGCACTTGTATGGTTGCTTGATGTATAAGTTACAATTTATATGGTTGGTTGAGACGTATTCATATTAATGACTTGATTGTCCATATGTAATCATATTTTGTAATTGTCACGAGTGGTAATACTAATTGGTGATGATTGCAAATTGATGGTATAATCTTCAAGTTGTGATAACTAATTGGTGGTTGGTTATTCACAATCACCAACATCAACATGGCTACCTCAAATTCTACCATTTTTCATAATTTATCTACCAATTTTTCAATGGCATCATTGTCTAATGGCGAAGAAAAAAGAATGATCTTTTAATCATGACTAGAAGTAAAGATCATAGAGGATTGTTAGGAGGGAGTTCTGCATTGACTAATTTAAAAAAGGATCATGAGTTTATAAAGAAGGAATACATATTCATTATATGGAAAGTCGTGATTCTTAACCAAGATAAGAGGAGATTGTAAAAAAAAAGAGAGCGCGGAAGGAGTTGCATGATATTTTGAAAGATGACGGGGAAGAAGAGGGTTGGGAGTGGAAGAGAACTGTGGGGTTGATTTGGTTGTGAGGCAGAAAACAAGCTTCCATATTTGAGATTCAGCAGCTGACTTGTTCGTTGGTGTTGGATGATGAAGGGAGAAATGGAAGAAGAGGGTTTATAAGGTGAAGGGAAGAGTGATTTGGAACCCTGACACGTGGATTGTCCTTTATGTGGGTCCATAAAGTTATGGGCAATTGGATAAACCTTGACACGTGGCGTCATGTCAAGACTGCCAACTCAATCCTTTTGTGGATTGTACACTTCTGCAACCCATTTTGGTGACGTGGCCTTTTCACGCCCAATGACTCTTTAAAGTAAGCACGCCATGCTGACTCACTATAAATGTTTAGTTATAAACTATAAAGGATTCCAGGCATCGTTCATTTTGAGTATAAATTTTCACATTTTTTGTTTTTTTTAAAATGTCTTATCATTTTGCTTACACTCCAAAACGATAATTTTGAAGGTCTATAGAAAAAGTCAACTTACAAGATTAGAGGTTGAAAGTGTAATTGAATCAACCGTTATTATTTATTAGCAAGTTATACTTTTCTTTTTTGTGGTTTGACGTAGGAACTTCTAACTTGAAGCAATTCTATATTGGGTAATTTCTTTAAATTTTTTCTTGGAGTGAAGATAAAAGCATCTTAAAAGAACACGTGGTTAGTCTATAAAGATGGTCTTCTTTTTCTTCAAGATATAGGTACGTGTACCTTTTTAGTGTTCTTATGATTTTTTGTGACACGCTAAAAGAATGAGTGCTGATTTATGAGGATAGTCTTCGCTTACAAATATTTCAAAATAAGTGACAGACAGAGCTCTAGGTAATTTCTAACACAATTAAGTATTTCAAAATAAGCAAGTAACAGATGGATTTCTAAGTCATTTCTAACACAATTACATATTATTATGGTATGAGAAGGATGTGTAGTCAAAAGGGAAAGTTTAAGGATGTGTAGTCAAAAGGGAAAGTTTAAACCAAATTACAAATCCTAACAAGGGAACAAAACGCTTAAAGAAAAATTCAAACCAAACTTAGAAAATTCCACCGCAGAACTCGTTCTTCGTGGTGGGTACTATATGTAAATCGTGTTAGGTGAAGAACAAAAGCGAATATCAAAAGTGGACGACTTGACCAACGATGGTTGTTGGCTTGGCGATGGAGTCCGCCAGCCGCATCCACTGATCCCACTGCCTTCCTGCGCGCCGCCATGAAATAGTACGTTCATACCTATTTTTCTTTCCCCCTTTTGCCGGTTTCCTTTCCTCTTCCATCTGGGTCTTGTCTTCCTCCATAGATTCCCCTTTGATCCTCTGTTTTCACCTCTGTTTCCGTCTAAAATGAAGGCCAAATTGGTTTTCACTGCTCCTCCTCCAATTTCTACTACTCGTATCCCCAATCTCTCGAAACCCACTTCCGTTTTTGCCTCCCATGGTGGAAAGAATCGTGGGTTTTTGCCTCTCAATCTGAAATCGCTTCATGGAACCGCCCTTCGTTCTGTTCAAGCCTCTGCCGCGTCCGTTGGGTATCTTACTTCAAACCCTTTTGCTCATTGCCTCGATCTTACCTCTTTTTGTCGTTTAAATGGTTTTCTTGAGGAATTCTGATCGTGGGTAATTCTGATTTTTGATCGTTGTTCTTGTTTTTGTTTGATTTCACGAAGTATTCTTTTTTTTTTCAAGTTTCTGATAGTCTTTCGTAACGTGCAATTTGTTCTTATGTGTTTTGACATGGCTAGTTGAGGTGTCAAACATTAAATATGTCTTGAGGTTTAAGTTTATGTGCTTGGTGATGATCTAATATGATATCAATTGGTTTAAATTGTATTGGTAAGATTAGTAGTAGTTTAGAACGGTGCTGCTGTTTAGTTCAAGCATTCATGTCTCTGTTTCGTAGATCATCTCCAAAAGAAAGGGTGGACATCAGCGACAACTTGACCCTAGAGGCAATAAGACGCTCATTAATCTCTCAGGAGGACAGCATTATCTTTAGTCTCTTAGAGAGAGCTCAGTACTGCTACAATGGAGATACATATGACCCCAATGCTTTCTCCATGGATGGCTTTAGTGGCTCTTTGGTGGAGTACTTGGTCAAGGAAACTGAAAGGCTCCATGCTCAGGTACTTGAACATTCTAAAAGGAGAAACAAAGAAAGGTTAAGGTAAATGTTGTGTGTGATTGATTGACAATATTTTTTTACCATTAGGTGGGAAGATACAAGAGTCCTGATGAGCATCCTTTCTTCCCCGACGACCTACCCGCTCCGTTGTTGCCTCCGCTTCAGTACCCACAGGTGAGCATTGACTTGCTTACATGGAGACTAAGAAAATACTATATGTTGTGCTTTCTCGTGTGTACGAGTTACCAGTGTTGGATATAGTCTATGATCGAAATATGTTGAAACAAACAACTGAAGCAGGAACAACAACTTGAGGGGAGAGAGCTTTTGAATAGAGGAACCTTAAGCACTTATGATTTTCAATTCTCTTTGTTGTCGTGAAAAAAGCATACATCTAATGAGTATTTCCCCTCCAGTTAAGAACCATTAACAATCTAATGAATATTAATCCGATATCCGTGGTTTGGGTTGAAAACAGGTACTACATCCTGTGGCGGATTCCATCAATATAAATAGCGAAGTATGGAGAATGTACTTCAATTCTCTGATACCAAGATTAGTCAAGGAAGGAGATGACGGCAATTATGGATCAACTGCTGTCTGTGACACGATGTGCTTGCAGGTGTTCATCTGAAACTATCCAAACCATTTAGAAATTTCTTCTGCAAAACTGACTTTCAATGAACATATGACAATTATGCTCTGCGTATACTAGCATTTGTTTAGTTTTGGTAACATCTCACGTCAGTTGGGAGAGTAAAACGAAGCATTCTTTATAAGGGCGTGGAAATCTCTTCCTAACATACACGTTTTAAAATTGTGAGGCTGACATCGGTTCGTAACGGGCCAAGAAAACACTAGCGGTGGGCTTGGGCTGTTACAAATGGTATAGAGCCATACACTGAACGGTGTGTCAACTTGGATGTTGGACCCCCATGGAGGGTGGATTGTGAGATACCACATCGGTTGGAGAGGAGAATGAAACATTCTTTATAAGAGTTGTGGAAACCTCTTCCTAACGTATGTGTTTTAAAACTATGAGGTTGATGGCGATGTGTAACGAGCCAAAGTGGACAATATCTGTTAGCGATGGGTTTGGGCGGTTACAGTTTCATTTTCTGAATCTTTGTTATCACGACAATTTTCACAATCCGGTTGTTTCGACCACTGCAGGCTCTATCAAAGCGAATTCATTATGGAAAATTTGTGGCAGAAGCAAAGTTTCAAGAGTCACCAAATGAATATGGGGCTGCAATTAGGAAACAAGTAAACTTTGTTCTATTACTACATTACATTCTTGATTCTGCAATCAAATATGTGATGTGATTCTGGTGCTGGGTTTTGCAGGACAAGGAGAAGTTGATGGACATGCTAACGTTTCCGAGCGTCGAGGAGGCGATCAAAAGGAGAGTGGAAATGAAAGCGAAAACATTTGGGCAAGAGGTTCCTGTAAACATAGAGCAAAAACATGGTGCCCCAGTTTACAAAATTAAACCCAGTTTGGTTGCTCAACTTTATGGAGAATGGATCATGCCATTAACAAAGGAAGTTGAAGTTCAGTACTTACTCAGAAGATTGGACTGATTTGCACTCATTCTTCATGGTCAATGCTCATACTAAGTTCCCACTTGTTCCAATACAATAATCAGGTTGAGTTACAACTGTAACGTCGGTCTGACGTGTACTTGTTGAAACCGTTACTCAAAAACAAGACCCTTTGTGTAATTAAAAGATTGTAAACCATGCTCGAGTTACCCTTCCAAATAAACTTTGAAAAAAAACATGTAATGTAAAAATATTTGAGTGTTAGTTGAAAAGCATCGCTGTTTCAATCTCTCTATTCCTCGTAAATTAGGAGTTTTCTATTACAAATCAATTAAACTAACTCAAAGCGTTTGAAAAATGAACGTGAATTTTCTGAGTTGCCCTATGACTAACTTTAATACTAAGGGTTTTGTTAATGTTTGGGTCTTGTTTAAGATTGGATTTAATAAGGTAAGCGACTTTTC